CTGGCATCAGTGGCCATGCCAGCCTGGGTGTGTTTTGACATCCAGATTTATCTTGCGCCCACTTCCTGTCTGAATTTGGGGGGCCGGAGAGGAGCTCACGGGGACAAAGGGCTTCCTGACCGAGCTGGGTAGGCATCCGGGAGGTCTTGTTACTCCAAAGCAATGGGCTCGATGCCCACGAGGGGCGGCATACCACAACACCAGGTTTGAAAACAGAAAGTTTGATTGTCAGTTGGCATGGAGCTAGAAGGCAAAAATCCACTTTCTGTCCCCAATTAAGAAAGGGAATGAGGTTCTAGAGGTATTGGATACCAGGGTGGAAACAACCGAGTTCTGTTTTATTGACTATGGCGTGATAAAGGCAAAGAAGTGTGGGTTGGACTGTGGACGTTCTTACAGAAAGAAGGATGAAGAGCTTTCTCCCCAAATGATTGAGGTCTGCATTCCTGGCATCCGGGTAACCCCTCTCCTCTGTGCTTGTGGTCTCTTGGCTTCCGCTGACCTTGAAGATCAGCTCAAGGTTGGTTAGTCGCTTCCGCTTTCCCAGGCTGTACTACCTGTTGGTGAGGTCGAGGCTCTGCCATCTGTGAACAGAAACCTTCAAAAGAAAGATACTTTTTTTTTTATTTCTTTGTGCCCTTGAGCCTGATAGCAATTTAAATGTTGAAACACAGTTACAGAGATAGAGAGGGTCTGAAACAGCCCCCAAGTATAAATCTCCCCATGCTGCCATTGGAACGGTGGAGCCTCCAGGTCTCCCTGAGTATGGGGAGGCAGTGTGTGAGAACGGATTGTTGCTAGAGCAATGACCCAAGTCAGAGAACAGACAGACACAAGGCATTGAATGTGGGGTCTCCAAATGACATGTCTCCCTCCGAATGCCCAAGCCTGCAGGGGTTCTTTGCTGACACCATTATATTAAGGACCTCGACAGGACATCATTCTGCATTGTCCTGATGGACCCTAAATAGATGGCGAGTATCTTTGTAAGAGACAAATGAGAGCAAGACATAGGGAGAACGAAGAGGCATTGTGAAGGCAGCCCGAGGTTGGAGTGATGCAGCCACCCGCCAAAGAACACCTGGGTCCCTGGAAGCCAGCGCCCTGTGCAGGCTCCGTCCCTGGAGCCCTCTGAGAGCACAGGCCTGCTAACAACTCAGTGCTGGAAACTGGCCTCCAGAATCATCATCAAATAGACTTCTGTCATTCAAAGGCACCACACTGTGCAATTCATTACAGCAGTCCTAAGAAACTAGCACAGAGGGCGTCGCTGAGACGCGGAGCTTGGGGCAGGAACTGACGTGGTGACCGAGTCATCATTGAGGAAGCCCAGAGCCCCCAAACAAGCACCATCGCTGCCCTGTCCGGGACAGAGCACGGCCACACAGCCTTGTGTGTCAGACGACGGAGGGGCGGTACACCCACCCGCATGTCAGGCCAGCCATTAGTCTTAACCAGAAAGAGCACTGACCAAATAGAACTGAGTTGCTTCCATATTGATGTGCCATTGGCTTCCAGTGCCGAGAGTCAAATGCACCTGAATTTTTTTTTTTAATTTTTTTTTTTTTTAAGATTTATTTATGCATACAGAATTGGGGTACAGACCAGAGATGCAGAGGGTGAGAGGATTCACCAGAGACAGAGTGGGGAGCAGAACAGGCAGATCGACGAAGTATACTGCTGAGGGGAGCAGCGGGCGGGCCAGGAGAGGCCAGGAGAGGCCTGCCACGCCATGTGGATCTCCTCCGGGGCAGGCGGGAATCGAACTCATGAGGAACTGGTTTCAGCTTCTTTGTACAGTGCTTTAACCCGCTGCGCCACCAGGGAGGGCCATAAATGCACCTGAATTTTAAAGGACGATGTTGGACTGATAATGGCAAGATTCGGTTTTCAGCTTTCAACACAAAAGGGCAGTTTAGGGACTAAATTCACTTCACTGGTAGAAATAGCCAGAAAATTACTTTAGTTCTGCCTCTCTTCTACCAAGAGCCCAGAGTGTTTTTCTAGACTTTCGCACGGGCTTCCCTGGGCCCCGGGGTTGTTGGGAGAGGGTACGTGAGACACTACCGGTCTGTGCGACCTTCTCACTGTGTCCTAACATGTTTCCAGTGATGACGCTGGACCTCCCTGGGGGTCTGTGGCTGCAGGCCGCCCTGGTGGGCAGCGCCTGGGTCCTCACCCACCGCGGAGCACCGTGAGGTTTCCAACCACCGTGTTTTTCCACCCATCTGGCTGCCATGGCTGCTTAATTCGGCTGTGCACTCCATGGCGGCGGGCGCAAGATTGTATTTATGTTCCCGACCGGCCAGTGTCTGCCACATCAGTGGGCTCCAATCAGTTGTTGTCGAATTTAATCGAATAACATAACCTCACTGTCCTTAAGTGGCCCGCCATCTGTCTGGTGTTGGGGAAATAATTAAAAATAAAATCCCCTGCCAACCCAGAAAAATCTCTCCAACAAGGTAGATGAGGAAGAAAGCAGTTTTGTTGTTGAAGAAGTGCTCCACCAGACTGCAGTGGGCATGCAGGCCACCTGGTAAAGAGATGGCGACGGCTGGCAGCAACCTTGACCTTTTTATGCATCTCACCAGGGCACGTCCATGTTCGAAAATGGAAATAACTGGTCCTCACGCGACAAGATTTGACAGCCCATTTCTGAAATAGAGTTCCCCTAAACTCAACTGGTAATTGGGGTGGCCATCTGTGTTAGCTAGTTACCTTTATCCAAAGGAAAAGTAAACCTTCACATCTCTCCATGACAAGTAGGTAGCTTTGCAACACAGAGCCCGTGGCTGAGTGAACTCCCACCTTCCCGTCGCTAGGGGCCCGAGGGCACTGTCTTCCTGATGCTTAAACAGATCACACCAAGGCCCTTAAAAATAGCATTCCTAGGCTATAAAACATAGGAACTTTATTTAGCTTTTTAAAATATTTCTATATACCTCCAAAGAACAGAGAAAGAATTTACAAGGACAACTTTACTCAAGGAAATGCCTTCAGAAAAGCGAGGGGGATAATCATTTTCCTTCCTTTCTGCAGAGAAAGTGTTTATTATGTTTTTCTTTTTATATTTTGTCCATTCGCCTAAGACAGGTAACTTATAAATTAGGATACAGCGCAGGGCCTGCTTGGTGCCCAGTGAGGGTGGGGGTGGGGTGAGACGCTTGGGGGCAGAGACCTGCAGCTGGACATCTCTGAATTTGGGGTGACCTTGATATTATGTTTGATGATAGCATCAGGGCCAAGATCAAGGTCACAGAGGAGGGGTTAACTTGGAGCAAACTAAGAAATGTCCAGTTTTGAATAAATGTCTGGTTTAGAGTACACCCAAATTTATTTATGCCCAAATGCCTATGGGCAGTAGACTTGACAACATGGGTCAGAATCTGCAGTCTAGGCCAGTCTGTATCTTTTTTAAGTTTGGGAATGATCTTAAAAGAAATGGCTATTAAAAAGCAAGTTGCTGGCATTTGTTCTACGCCAAACATAGCCTATCAAAGCTAAATATTTGGAAGCTTTTTTCCCTTGTTATATACTCATTAAAACTTGTACAAGAGTTAGCCATTGCATTCTAAATAATATTCTCTCAGGTACTTAAAAGTCATGACTAACTAGACTGCACTTTCGTGCTGAACCATCTGGTATTAATAAATTTGTGAAGAAGAAAGCTAAAAGGTGAAAATCTGAAAACTTGAAAGAGGAAAATTATAAATTAAGAAAGAAAAAGATGATCCACTGAACCTAGAACTTTAGAGAATCCAAAACAATAAAGGCACTAGAAGTTAAAATATTTCCAATTCTGCCTTTTTGCATTTTTTATTTTACCTTATATACCCATTCCAGAAGAACAATATGCCTTTTTATATTTGGAAATATGGTGAAATAGAAAGAAAAGGACAACATCCATTTTTTAGAGGCAAGCACCATCAACATTTGTAAAGTACTGCCTTCTGGCAGAGTCACTATTCCTATTCATGCATAATTGCACTTTTACTATATACTTTCCTATTTAATTTTATAATATCAACATGTTTCAAAGCTATCAACATTTATGAGTGAATGAATTATTGCTTTGTCACAAATGATGGGCAATTTGAGAGCTCACAGCAATACATGCTGATTTCCTCATGTGCCTGGGTGGGTCAGGAATCTGGGACACGCTTAGCTTGGCGTCTCATGAGGTGGTAGCCAAGATGTTGATGGGACTGCAGTCATCTGAAAGCTGGATTGGGGTAGGAGACTTCAAAGCCAAGATGGGTCACCCCCACGGTTAAGGGCATAAGGCCTCCATTCATCACCACTTGGACCCCTTCCTAGACCAGGAGAATGCCCTCAGGATCTGGCACCAGGCTCCAGCAGACTGATGGTTCAAGAGCAAGCAATGTGGAGGCTACAATGTCTTTTATCCCCAGCTTCAAAAGTCTCACATGCCATCTCTTTCGCAGCGAACCATGTTTAACTTTTCCACATAAGAAAGTGAACACCTAAAGGCATGCAAAACACTGGGCACCATCTTGGGGACCAGCTACCACCATAGGAATTTTTAATGGCTACAAGAATTCTATAATAGAGATCTCTATAACTGTACTAACTATTGACAAAAGGTCAGATCTAGTTCCAGTAAGTCAGTGTTACAAATAACCCTGATTCAAGTACCTTTGTTTGTTAATTTTTCATCAGGACCTCAGATTATTTTCTTCAAATATGCTCTCAGGAGTGGGATTGTTGAACTAGGAAGAAATCTTTATTTCCTAGCTTCTAGTTTAAATTATCTTCATCAAGCAAATTAATATTTTATATTGATTATTTCAGTTAACATGTATTTCTTTTAACATATGTGTGATAAATATCTTAAGATGCCTAGCAATCATCCACAACAATGTGTCTGTTTTCATTGAATGCATTCTATAGAGCATATGTTTAGGTAGATTTTCTATATATATAATATTTTGATACTTATGGCAAGTGGGTATTTTCATTGTTATTTAACCATTTTATAGATCCTCCTGAGTTTGTTTGTTGCTGTTATTTTGGACAACTTAGAACTTGATGAAGATCTAAAGAAGCTTAAACAAGTAAGTAGTGTATGGGGGATTCTTTAAATCTGCATTTAAACCAATAAGGGTGAAATGTGCTTGTAGGTTACAAAGTACAGCAGTTTGAGCTTCAAAGAAAAAAAAAAAGATTTTAATAAAGTAGTCTAAGTTAGCAAAATTAGTTTCTTTTAAGTTTACCATTATCCAATACCAACAAAGGAAATGTTCAATGCTCGACTATTATCGTAAAAATACTTGATACTTTTTTGAGTAAAAGTAAGGTGAACATAATAGTATAATGAATTGCACTTGGAGACAGTTCTCCTTCTCCCATTAAATGAAGATTGTTTGAAAATGAAATGGCTCAAGGTTAGTCTGCTATTTTACATAATTATATGTGATACTCTTGATCTTCGTCATTAAAATATTAAGCCTCAACTTGCCTGACCTCTAGACACTAAAAGAGAATTTAGTCTCGGTGCCCATCGTGATTATAAAAAATGCAATAGAATAAATGCTCAACTGTCTTCTCACTTATATATGAAAACAGATTAGGTATTAAGGCACTAGTAAGTCATATCCCAAATATGTCATTGGAAATGCGTGAGACCTGTGTTCCTGATAGCAGAGGGATTGTAGATCCGATGAGCCGTTCTCACAGCTTCTGGTACATAGAGGATGCTCAGCTTAAATGTTCGACCCTGTGAAAGAGTGGAGCCCCTTCAGGAAGGGGCTGTCCCCACACTGCAAGAAAAGTTGGCAGAGTCACAAAGAGAACCAAGATTCTAAGCCAAATCCTATCTGGAACCCTAGCAAGGCCATACACATTCAGAATTTTCAATCATCTCTGTTGTCTGTGTTTAACAAAGCAAGACAAAAACATATAAATTTCTTGGTTCTCATTTATATATCAGAAAGCCAATTTAAGATTTTCATCCTACCTTGCCTACCCCTGGGTTGCTGTTCAACCCAGGAAAAATTTATTTTCAGAAAAAAGATATATACAGCACAAAGATAGCTGCTGCAGAAGTATCAAGGAAAGATTTAAGGTCTTTGCTGTCCCAGAGCGGCAGAAGCAGAATGTTGTCTGGGTTTCACAGAGATGATTGATTGCTCCTGACTCTTTATTATTTGTGCTGGCAATGACAGACCTTCCATGAGAGGTCTGTAGATGCCGTTGATGGAAGTCCTTTCCATGACTTCTGGTTGTAGGAAAAAGATGTAGCCCATGAGTTCACTGTTGAAACTGATGAACCTTATAACGAGACAAAACCATGAAATCCTGCTGCTGCGTAACCATCTTCATCCTTGCTTTAGCAATCTGGTATTTCAGTGTGGATTTCTGCATGTCATGCTTATTATGCATAGATTTTAAATATGCTCTGATAAAGCATATTCAATATGTAATCTGTAGAGAAACCAAAGAATGAATTTTCTGTTTTTTAAAACTAGTGCTATGCCATGCTATGTTCAGGATGATTTGGAATCACCACTGGCCAATGTCAGTGCCATATAATTCCAGCTGCCATTTGTAAAAAGCTCTTCTTCTGGAAAGCAGTAACATAAATCTACCTATGGAAATGTGTTCAAGTTTATGAATTCAAGCCTAATGTGTTGGTGTTGCTGATATGACACATTCATACAGTTTCTATATAGCTATCTCTTATATATCTATATATAATGTGATCCCAAGTGAAAACAAAACAAAGACGAAACTTGGACTGGCATTTACGTTTCTCACTAGACTACAAGGTTTTAATCAGTGATACTGTGTTCCTTCCAGAGTGCACATCACCAGTTGTAAATGACTTTTATCCCCTCACGGGCAGATACCAGTAATGCTTTATTTTCATGGAATTCCGCACATTCAGCTCATCACCCACTGTGGCAGCCCCGAATCTAAAGTACCTTCTTGGAATATTTGTTGATGATTGAGCACTGAGATCCCAATCACAAATAAGCCAAATTCATGTTCTTTTGTGTTTTTCAATTTGTTGTTTAGTCCTGACTGGACTGAAACTACATACCTGTTAAATAGTTTATTAATATTACACTTGCAAATCATTAAATTACTGTGGAGCAAATGTTGTAATAAGCTAACATATTCCTGTCTTACTTTCTTGCATGTTTCCTAAGACTACTTTATATATTTGCAAGTTCCTGACCGTTATTCTTTTACGTCCTTGGTGTTCCGTATTTCCAGTGACCTTAGACATTGCAGGAGCGCTCATTCATATAGCTTCAAAAGGCACGTGCACACACGCTCACATGTGTGCACACATGCGCTGTCACTTACAGGCATGTCACATCCCATCCCTGACATTTTGGACTCTCTTTTTGCAGCGTCCATTAGACTGTTGGTGAAAAGGTTACCTGGAAAATCTGCTTACTTAGTTTTCCATATGTAAACACAGCCCTTGAGGATTTGGATACACAGAGTATTTAAATTCATGGAACTAGAGACAATAATGGGGAAAATGTGGGAAAGTATTTGATTTTCTTAATATTTCAAGTTCCAGAAAGTACCGTGCATTCCAAAGTCTGTCTTTGTTCGTCTCCAGCTCCTCTTTCATAGTTAGTCTTTTCTTGAACCTACCCACCAGCCTGTAGGTGCCTATAGCGGCCTTTCTGGAGTGCTTCCCAGAGTCACGTGCTTTGTATTTTAATTAATTTCACAGTACCAGGTGCAGGTCTGTAATATGTCCATCTTAGAGAGGGGACTACTAAGGCACAGAGAGGTTATGTAACTTGCTTGAGGTCACACAGCTCACAACTGGTAGAGCCCGGATTTGAACCCTGGCAATTTGGAGCAAGCCCAAGTCATCTAGATGCTAAACACAAGTCATCATCACAAGTCACAGGGAAGCAATTTTCCCTTCGTCATTAACACTAAATTAATGATGGTGCTATACATAAATGATATCACTCTGTTCTCAGAGTGATGCAGGGGCCAGTTTTCTGAGGAATGGAGCGACACGATCTTGGAAACCATCTTTTAAAACTTTCCCTGCAAACATCAGGTGCTCTAAGTGGGGTGCCGGCGTTAAGGCATGCAGGAGGGTAAGTGGAGGTGCTTGCCATTCCTGCTCCAGGGCCCCGGCACTGCCCCAGCTTGGCTCAGGGCCCCGCTGGGAGCAGAGACCATCCTGGGCACAGACTTAGTATGTTCGGGCACGTTGACATTTTCGCAAGACCTCTAGTGACGTTTATTACGTCTCATTAGGATTGACATAAAACAGGCCTGTTACAGTCTAAATACTGATCCATACACGTTTTTCAAGGCTAGTCATAGAACCAGTGTGAGTTACCTCTAAAAAGGAAAAGCTAATGAGAAGCCTGAAACAGCCTCTAGAAGGCCAATCCTCAGATTTTGGGGGCAACAGAACCCTAGAGAGACAAGCCAGGAGGTCACAGCAGACAGCTAACAGAGGCCACGAAAAAGTTATAGTGACAGAAAGAGAAAAGAGATGGAAGAACGTGACCTGGGGAAACCTTCGGGATATGAAAGTAAGGGAGAAGGAATTAATTATGACTGTGACCCCGGGAGAATGGCAGGAATGTGAGCGAACCCACAATCTGGAAAGAGATGGAGTCAGATGCCGTGTGGTGAATGCCTGGGGAGCCTTTCCCCAAAGTCTGTGGGATCTGTTGGTGGTAGAATCGGATTTTCTGTACGTGACTGCTGCAGCCACCTCTCGCCCATTATTTCCCAGAGTTTCCTCTTGCCCTGGGAGACCGTGGTCCCCACCAGGGACTGTTGATCTCTGAGACTGCAGAGAACCCTGGGGCAGCTGGTCTTTTTAACCCTTCAGGAAGCCCACAGGGCATGGCGTGTTCACCCAGCGTAAGACCAGCAGTACTTCCCAAAATGCGAACACTCTGCTCCAGCTGGAAACCTGTAAATCCTCAGGGTAGCTCTGGCTTCCTGAAGCTGCGACTCTGAAGTCTCTTCCTTTCAAAAAAAAAAAGTGACCTTGAATTATTTATTATTTAATAAAGGCATATGGAAGGAAAGGCCCTTTTATGAGCTAGGATTCAGAGGGCAAAGTAAAAGGCCTCCTTGGAATGGATTTCACACCCTTCCCCACTGCACCCTCTCCACGATTTACCCAGCGTGGTACATTCTGGCCACGGGTGCAACTATTCCTTTGTCATTCTTCAAAATCAATGAGGTTCTGCAAAACTGTGCCAGTTATACATCCATATAAAATTCTTCTGTCGCTCTCCCCATGGCTTGTGAAATACAATCAGTCCCTAGCAGCAGTGTGACAGCAGCAATCAGTTCCTAGGGCCGTCACTTACATGACCCCGAGTTTCAGTCAGTATCCACCGTGTTTCTCTTTTCAGCATCTTCACAATCCAATAAACTCGTGCCATTTGCAGCAACATGGATGGAGCTGGAGGGAGAATGCTGAGTGATGTAAGTCAGATGGAGAGAGATAAGTAGCAGAAAATGTCACTAATATGGCTTAAGAAATCAAACTAAGTTTCAGATAAAGGCCAGCTTTAAAAACCCAGTACAGGACCCTCGCTGGTGGTGCAGTGGGTTAAAGCGCAGCACTGCAAGTCAGTCGCAGCCGCTTGGGTGAGAGTTCAATCCCCGGCCCCGGAGGTGACCCACATGGCGCAGCAGACCTCTCCTGTCTCACCTGCTGCTCCCCTCAGCAGTGTACTTGGTCGATCTGCCTGTTCTGCTCCCCACTCTGTCTCTCGTGAATCCTCTCACTGCGCCTGTGCCTCTGGCCTTTACCCCAGTTCTGTATGCATGAAGACATAAATCTTAAAAAAAAAAACAATGCAGAACCTGGAGATAGGTGGCTAGATGACAGGTGGATGGATAGGTAGGTAGGCAGGTAGGCAGGTAGGTAGATGGATAGATGGGTGGAAGATGTTTTTCTACAAAGCAGCAAAAAACTGAAAATGAAATGTTGGTAATTGTGTAATTTGGCTGCTGAGAAGCGTGCTCAGTTACTATAGAAACTCAAAACCCCTTGACCCAGTGCCATGCTCTGAACTGTAGAAGGATAGAATGACCTTGA